GGTCCCAGGATCACCAAAAATTTAACCTGAGACAAGTCCAAATTAAAATGCTAATTTTGATTTTAGCCTATATATATTTAAACCTGTGCACATTTGGGTATATATAGTTATCATTAATGTTTAAGCTAAACAGATCTGGAGTTTAACCATGAACACAGACCACTGCGTTCCTGAGAAGGTCAAACACGTTAACCTTGGACTGAAGTTGTGGATACGTATTATACACTATACACTCCTGTTACTCCAACAATGTTAGAGGTTTTACACGGCGAGAAACTCTTGACAGGCGTCGCAGTCGGCACCATCATATACGAAGGAAAAAAAGGCCAACCAGCGGCCACTCATGTTATATGAGTAACACTCCTGTCAATATTGTGGTTGTCATCTCCTCAATTGATTTTATTTGATTTATTCACTCAGTATCAAATCATTCAATTTCATTTGTATATGTGTCTATATTGAAATGTAGGATTCAAGCAACTGGGGGATGCTGAACTTCAAAGAGCCTATACAATTGAGCTAACTTTGGATATTCTTCTCCCTGTATGGTTATCCATGAATTTGCTTCAGAAAAAAATTGACATCAGCATCTAGAACAGTCATCCTAATTAAACCTTTTTCAACATTATTTCCATCCATAAATATATTTATCAAAAACTAGTTTAACATGTCACAACAAGTTCAATGGCCATATGTGTTAAAATTGTTCTACTTTCCCAGCTTTTTAGATATGAACTACAATAAAGATAAGTCCTTTTATATATATCTATAATTAGCTGCCATTCTTTATGACAAGCAATCAATCATGCTATTTTTATGTAGAGACCTATATAGTTCATCAATCAACTGAAATGCTGATTTGTGAATGTTATCGGTAGTCATTTTTAGAAATGTCCAAATAAAACGGCTGTCAAAGGGTTATTGTTAGAGTACTTAATGGCAAATTAAACTTCCTTCATAATCTACAGTGGCTTTTAAGTTACTTAAAGTGTAAATAAAAATGTTAGAAAATATTTAAAGAGTATACTCATGCAATATTTGAAAGGGCTTCAGTGTTTGAACACATAACACCTATTCAATTCTGGTGATAACTTGTTTACTGAACAAAAATATGACATCAGAATATAGCAGAATATTTAATTTCATTAACATTTAAAATTGTTTTCAACCAGCTTTCTACATTTAGACCTTTATCAAGTAACATAACCATTCACTGGGATATGGCCCTTATATAAAGCAATCCTTTGGGACCCTAGATAGGACTCAGATTTACTAATTAAACATCATTATGACATATCTTTGCTTTCTTCTGTCTAAGTCATACGGCCTTGATCAACACCATGTACCTCACCTTGTTTTAACATTAACAAAGGAACTAAAACTCGGGTGGTGCAGTGGATAGCGCACTAAACTTTCACCAAGGCGGCCGGGGTTTGATTTGCCGATCGGAGGTGAAAAGGTTGGGGTCACCTGCCCGACCTGTCTGTGGGTTTCCTCCCACAATAAGACCCCGCGGGCTAACATCCGGGCCAACAAGGGTAATTAATATAAGTTGAAATAACTTGTTTCATAATTGTTGTAAAATGAATAAAGTTTATTTATTTACTCGAAAAACAGCCAATAAACGAACAGAATTATTTTTAATCTAAGATGAAGGATAAAACTTCCTGAAATGTTCAAGTGATGTCCAGCAGTTCTGTGATGATTAGTATGGAATGGCCTGTCAATTTCTGCATATCTACATCTAGGTACCTCCGTACACAAGTATACTTATATAAACTTTACCTTGTTCTAATAACATGATAGCAAAATTGTTCAGAAATAATCTGAAGTGCTAAGTGAATTTTCAATAGCAAATATTCAATAAGATTTAAAGTAAACTAGGGTTTATATTCACAAAAAGGGCAAAGAGATTTCAAGCATGGAGAAATATTGACTTAAAACCAGTCTGTTTATTAGAGAACAATGTTCCATTATGTTCAGGAGGCGGAGGTTTAAATTTCTAAAATGATTTAATTAAAAGGCGGAAGCCTTTGAGTGCAACCTGATCAAGCTATTATAACCGTTATCCTTTAATGGTCAAAAACCAACAGAACACTGGTGGAAATGGCCCATATAGCATACACCCAAATCTTCATACTGTGGTACCAGATCAATCCGTGAGTACTGTCAGTATACTATCCAATAGCTTTGTTGTTTGAGCAACTGTTCATTTACAAAGAACATTTAGCATCAAATTACAACTCGCAAACTTTTTGCAAACTGCGCCAGAACTCACTTGAGCAGTAAGTGAAACAGGCAATTGCTATTATGTGCAGTATATTTTGGTTAAAAGCTTTCTTGGAGCAACAGTGTTGTGCTCATGACTTCACAACCACAGGCTACAGTTGCCTGGTTATAGTGTATACATTGTATATATACAGGCTCTTCTACACCATCAGGTCAACATAGTCAACAGTACTGTCACATATATGTCTCAAAACATAGTCAATAGTACTGTCACATATATGTCTCAAAACATAGTCAATAGTACTGTCACATATATGTCTCAAAACATAGTCAATAGTACTATCACATATATGTCTCAAAACATAGTCAATAGTACTATCGCCTATATGTCTCAACAAACTTAATACCAGGTGTCACACATCAGTAAGGTGTACAAGTTAGACAAAGGTCAAGAGATTAACAAGATCATACTAGTCAACAGTTAACAGGGTCAACACATCAACAAGGTCAATGCATCAGCATCAAGGTCAATGCATCAGCATCAAGGTCAAAGCATCAACATGCAGGGTCAAATAAGCAATAAGGTCAAAGCATCAACATACAGGGTCAAATAAGCAATAAGGTCAATGCATAAGCATGTAGGGTCAAATAAGCAATAAGGTCAATGCATCAACATGCAGGGTCAAATAAGCAATAAGGTCAAAGCATCAACATTCAACAAAGTCGACAGCATAAAGATCAATGCATCATTTAGTTGTGTTTTACATCCTTCTAACAGCTATGGTCCTTTACTTTAAGGACGTGCCAGGTTTTGGTGGTGGAGGAAAGTCGGAGTTCCCGGAGAAAAAGGTCAAAACATCAACAGGGTCAATTAACACATCAACAAGCCAAACACATTAACAAGGTCAAGAAGAAAATAACATTGCAGCAACTCATTAACAACCATGCTGCCACTCTCGTAGTAGCTGACTTCTGACAACTTGTCAGGAGATAATGTATATGAAATTAGACTGCTAATAAAATCTATAGGATGTATAGCTGATTTAGAACATTTTGCAAGAAAAGATGGTTTAAAATCATTCTGCCACTGTAGTGCAAAATTAGGAGCAGTTTTCCCACAGGAATAAGCACATGAAATCTTGCGTGATTTAGGTGTGTTTTTGTACTGCCAAAACTACACATACAAATTAAAGACCAAGAGGATGAAAGCATTTGCATGACCAGACTGGCTAAAGGCTAGAGTTTGTTGAAGATGATATGAAGTCCTGGAATAACAACAGCTTTATGTCGTCTGGTTAGCTTAACTTACACACAGTGAAAGTTATTATACAGTCGAACTTTTCAATGATTGAAATCTGTAGCTCAAGTACTGTTTTGCAGATTATAAAGAATTATCATAGGAAAACCCATTAAACATAGTTTTCTTCAGAAAAAGTGGATGAAAAGTTGAATTGATAGAGTACTTCACACAACAAAGCTTTAGACTCGTGGACGTTACATACACTGGTACATGAAACGAAGATTTACACCAGATATAAAGTAGCGAGGTCACAGTAATCACAAGTTATACTGCAACACAACCAAACAAAACTCCTAGTAACACATAATGGCATGCAATACTGGGCCACGATCAATTCTAACAGCCAGCATGGTCAGATATATCGAAAAATAGAGGTCAAAATAGGATCATTATTCCATTTGAACTAAAAAAGAGAACTATAAATATCGTGTAGTTATTTCCCATTCTGGTATGCATGAAAATTTGAGGTCAAAAAGGGGTCATTATTCCATTTGAACAAATTTCCCAATCTGATATACAGGAAAACTTTTATTATCACATGTGATTTTTTCCTTCAAATGTAAAAAAATACATTATGTAAGAAGCATTACTTAATACATCTAACTCCTCACATTACTTAATGCATCTAACTCCTCACATTACTTCACTTAGACTATTTATGAGATCATTTAGACTATTTATGAGATCACTTGCAATCTGAAGTGCTAATACCAAAACAAGACAAAACATAGCAGAAGCACCAACCATCTTTAAACTAATGTCCAAAATCACTTTCTCAGGACGACAGCAGATACCTGAGGAATACCAATACTCCAGAAGGCAGCAGTAACCTTGGGGGATACTGTACATGATAGGGGCACTACCGAATCAGTGCTCAAATAATGGAGGAATTAAGGTTTACACCAGGAACCCCATACAACCGATACATATGACTTTCACATAGTCCAGACCTAATGCTTCACCTGCCAATCAAGATGTTTTTACTTTGAGCTCGCAGTTTAAGTCTGCACGTCATTAATTTTCAAATGAAGAAACCTAGACAGCTGCTACTCCAGTAGAAGATAGGTCAAAGAATATACATGTACATGTATACTATAGATATAGATAGGGCTACAGACTCTACAGAGCTCTTCATTTCATAGCTTTCATTACGTGTCATGATGTAGTTTTATCTGCCATATCAAAATTAGGCTTTTTTTAAGCAATCTTGTTCAGCTGAACACATCAAAAGAATAAAAAAAAAAAAATTCAACATGTTTTAAGAAACATGAAAAGTAAAACTGAGAAAATGTAGGAAGGGAAAAGTAGGACTCAGAAAATATAGGAAAGGAGAAAGAAGCTAATGTATTATAAAGACAAGATAGGGATACAAGTACAGTTGTATATTAAGACTGACCTTTCAAATTCCAAAGTTAAAAGAAAAAGAAAGTTTTAAAGTAATTATTTAATGATAAAAAAAATTCAGACTTACCCTGGTGATCCAAAGTCAGATTCTTCAGTTCCTTCTTCATCAGCTACCAGGGACCCCCCAGACCCGGATTTCTCCGACAGGACACGTTTGGACGGAGCCCCTACCACCGCAGGGCGCTGCTCATGTAGGATGATTTCCGACTTTGACCCCTTGCTGTAGTAGACTGTACTTGTTGCACTCTGAGTAAGTTGGGCCATTTTTGAGGACACTGTTTTTGAGTCTCTATTTTGCGTTTCTTCTGGCACTGAAGTCACTGTTACATTGGTCTGCGCAGGTCGTGTTGGCCGCAAGAGAGTGGTGCTTGCTGCTGATTTTTCAGTTTTCGTACCAATAAATGGGGCTGGTGTAGGTGCATCCAGGGATGGGTCCATGACCTCGTTATAAGGCTTTGTTGGAGTGTAGTTAAGGTTACGAACTTTGGCTATTGCTTGTAGATCGGGAGTACTGGACTTTGATCCACACTGACTGGTGTTTCCACTACTCCCAGTTCCACTACTGCTTGAGCCACTACTGGTGGCTTCAGAAGAACTACTTGCTTGTGACAAAGCACTGGAGCCGGGTTTAGGTATGGACGAGACAGACTTGGTCGCAGCCTTACTGGTGCCCTGCAGAGAACTTGAAGAAGGTTTAGACTCTGTGACCTTGGATATGATAGAACTGATCTGGGTACCAAAGTTAGCAGGAGCTGAAACTTTCTGAACAACTGTTGCTCCTGACCGAGTCGTTGTTACGGTGGTAGTGGACGTTTGTCCATTTTGTCCGCTACTGGTGGTCAACGTTGTCGTTGTCACTATTGACTTTGGAGTATGTGGAACAGTGCTATTGGACGGTTTTTCCTTTGGTACAGAATCAGGTGACGCTGTAATGCCATTTTCTGTTTTGACTGGGACAACCTTTTGGGCAGCAGACGCTGATTGTTCCCGGGCATTTGCTGTGTCCTTGTTACGAATGGATGATGGTGAATCTTTCCTCACTGCACTCTGTGGACGCATGAAGGAGTTGATGGGAATAAACGACACCGGGGTTTCATTTCTAGTGAGTCCAGTTATCCCTGGTGTCATTTGCGAGGAACTTGAGCTCTTCTTCACGACCCGGTGCTGACTCGGGGTACTTACAATGTCTTTGGCACTGAGAGGCCTTGCATAAGGGTTTGAGTGTCCCTTAGTGGAATTAGGGGTCCCAGGCTTCCCTACATTATTAGGGGCAATGTATGTCTGTCCCCCTAGGTATGATCCCAGAGGTGTAGTTGACCCGTCCGTTCCTGAGGGATTTGGGTTTCTGCTGAGACGATATGGAGCAGACGGCGTCATGGTATTGTTGACGGATGCCTGGCTGAGGCTACTGTAACTGTTTCGGCTATCTTGTCGGATTGAAATGTATTCTGATTGGTGGTTTACAAGCTGCACAGGCTTGGCTATTGGTTGATTATATTTCAGGATAGGTTTCTGGGCTGTCTGACGTAGAGGTAACTGTTTGCGAAGTGATAATTCTTCTAGACTTGCTGTCAACTTGGTTAGATTAGAATCAGCCATCTTGAGTTAATTTGATGAAGGGGTAAGGTTATCCGAGTGGTCAAAGCTAGTTTGACCACCAAGAGACACTTACTCTCCCTTCTCCATGGCTGGGGCCACCAACTTCAAATCGGGATTGATACAGCAGCAGCACACATGTTGTCCTGAAAGGAGACAAAACATCTGATGTTAGGTCAGTTTGGATATTATCATTAATGCTTAACGGCCCATCAACACAGGATTGGTCATTAAGGCCAATCAGTTTGGATATGGTAACAGCATGGTTCTTCAGGTAACAGGCAAATCAATTATGGTAACAGCATGGTTTTTCAGGTAACAGGCGAATCAATTATGGTAACAGTATGGTTTTTCAGGTAATAGGCAAATCAATTATGGTAACAGCATGGTTCTTCAGGTAACAGGCAAATCAATTATGGTCACAGCATGGTTCTTCAGGTAACAGGCAAATCAATTATGGTTACAGCATGGTTTTTCAGGTAACAGGCAAATCAATTATGGTAACACCATGGTTTTTCAGGTAACAGGCAAATCAATTATGGTAACAGCATGGTTTTTCAGGTAACAGGTAAATCAAGACTAGAGGGTAAAACATTTAACTTCTTGAAAAATTTTTACAGTGTCTGTGTATTTACCGTTTGCGAGTCCTCACCTGATTAAACACAGAGATAATTTGATCCTGAAGATTCCATTTTAGGATCATGTCATAATAAAATCTTAACAAGAGGCCAAATGGGCCTGCATCATTAAACTCACACTTGTAACCTTAAAAGTGATCTAAAATAAAGCTACAGGCAAAATATCAGTTTTTATGATTAAAATTCGTTCAAAAGACCCTGTTATTTTTTTTTAAAACATTTCACCCCTGCGATTGAAAGTCGAACAAAGTCATTATGTTGAACACATTGTATAGCCTTTCATCTCAGGATGCAACTTGCAAAGTATAAACATCCTGGGACCCATGGTTATTCATAAGAGGTTGTTTAAAGATTTTAAACAAATTTGACCCCTGTGACCTTGAATATAAGTCAAAGTCATTCACTTTAACAAACATAGTAGTCCTTGATCCCAGCATATGCTACTAACTAAATATCAACATCCTGAGCCTTTTGG